CTCGGCTCACTGCAACCTCCACCTTGCTGGGTTCAAGGGATTCTCCTGCCTTAGCCCCCTGCATAGCTGGCAGGTCTAATTTTTATATTTTAGAATACTCTAAAATATAAAATATTCTAAAATGTAAAAATTAGACCTGTCATCTCAGCTACTCAGGATTTTTATATTTTTAGTAGGGACGGGGTTTGGTCATGTTGGCCAGGCTGGTCTCGAACTCCTGACCTCAGGTAATCCACCTGCCTTGGCCTCCCAAAGTGTTGGGATTACAAGCATGTGCCACCGCGGCCAGTCTATACTCAAAATTGTGTAAGCAATGGCTATATAAAAGCAGTGCCGGGGGCAGTGGCTCACACCTGTGATCCCAGCACTTTGGGAGGCTGAGGTGGGTGGATCACGTAAGCACACCTGTAGTCCCAGCCACTGAGGAGGCCTAGGCAGGAGAGTCAGTTGAACCTGGGAGGCAGAGGTTGCGGTGAGCCAAGATGCCACCATTGCACTCCAGCCTGGGCAACAGAGTGAGACTCTGTCTCAAAAAAAAAAAAAAAAGGCAGTAACTACGGGAGCTGATGATGAACTTTTAGAATCTTACTTTTTATATCCAGAGGCTACATCCAATTCTAATTGGGTAGACAAATTTAGAAGGATTTAATACCTTAAATTTGACAGCAACCAGTTTGTATCCTATTAGCAATGGGTGATATAGTTTTCTGGCTTTCATTTTATCAATGCTTTCAATCATGTGTTCATTCAATCGATTTACTCCATAAGCATTTATTTCCTGTTCTACTCCAGGCAAAGTGCTTGGCTCTGGGACAAAGGGTCCTTTCCCTTGAGGAATTTGCCTACTGATCTGCCCCATGCCTACTGCTTCTGGTTGTGCTATTTGGGTTGTTAGCCTTTTTAATTTTTTTTTTTGTTGTTTAAAAAAATACAGCTTGGCCGGACGCGGTGGCTCACGCTTGTAATCCCAGCACTTTGGGAAGCCGAGGTGGGCAGATCACGAGGTCAAGAGATCGAGACCATCCAGGCCAACATGGTGAAACCCTGTCTGTACTAAAAAATACAAGAAATTAGCTGGGTGTGGTGGCGCGCCTGTAGTTCCAGCTACTCAGGAGGCTGAGGCAAGAGAATTGCTTGAACCTGGGAGGCAGAGGTTTCAGTAAGCTGAAATTGCGCCACTGCACTCCAGTCTGGCACCTGGTGACAAGAGTGAGACTCTGTCTCAGAAAAAAAAAAATGAAAAAAAATATATTTTTATAGCTTATTTCTTTTTGGAGACAGAGTTTCGCTCTGTTGCGCAGGCTGGAGTTTCAGTGATCACAGCTGACTGAAACATTTAACTCCTGGGCTCAAGAGATTCTCCTGCCTCAGGCTCCCAACCAACTAGGACAAAAGTTGCACGTGACCACACCCGGCTAATTTTTTATTTTTGTAGAGGTGGTGTCTCACTATGTTGCCCAGGCTGGTTTCAAGCTTCTGGCTTCAAGTGATCCTCCTGCCTCAGCCTCCCAAAGTGCTGGGATCATAAGTGGGAGTCATGGTGCCCAGTCTAGGCTTTTACTTTCCTTATTTCTTGTGTTCTTATTCATCAAGTCTTTTGCCATTTTGGGGGGATACTTTTTGCTCACACCCTTATAAACTTACCAGCTAAACACAAGAAGGGACATTACATCAAAATAAGAAGCCTTAATTCTCCCAACTTTTGCTAACCATTTGAAACTGGAAATATCACCTTTCTCATCAAAAATGAAATGCAGTTTGGTAGGACTGTACATAGAACCAAGACCAGGAAAGTAAAGTCTATTTGGTTATACTTGATAGAATTGTTTTAATAAACAGTGCAAACTATTTCTGAGGACACTTCAGCCACAGATATAAGGGCAACTTTTCATTCTAGTGCAGATCTGGTGGAGTTTCAGGACTTATTGTTTTTCAAAGAGTAGATTCCTCTGTCAGTACCTCAGGGAAACTCTTTTCTAATAGAAGAAAAGCCAATTCTGGAAATTCTGGAATAGAAAGCTTTCCTTGCTCTGCAGGATGGGATGCAACCACGCTTTGTGTTTAAAAATGACAGTGTTGGTATCATTCTAGAAGAGGATGCTCTTAAACTGTTTCCACCTCAGTGACATTGGATGGATTCATGCTTATCTATGTATTCCTTCCTGACCCTCATGATCAGTGGAATTCCCTGGGGAGCCTGTGGCAAGATCTGGAGTCATGTTAGTTAAGACTCTTGGGCATCAAGTGACAGAAACCAACTGGACTCCACTTAGGCACAGAGGAGGAATTTGGTGTAAGTATACAAAAGTGTGTTGAGGAACCCAATGCAGGACTACAACCAGACCTCAGGAAGGGCAAGGTTGAGAACCAAAAAGCATCCGCATTCCCAAGACGCACTATTGGTTCATTTCCCCTCCACTTTTTTTTTGCACATCTACCTCCTTCTCTGACACTACAGTCCTGCTTTCTCTGCCTCTTTATCCACAAGGCTGAGTACGGCTGAACCACCACAATGAGTTTAGAGGCGATTGTTCTCTCATTCACAGAGAATGTGTGCCCGTCTCTGCATGCCTACTTCTGGGAGAAGAAATCTGATTGGCCCTGCCTGAATCAAGAGTTTGGCTCTTGTCCAATCACCTGAGGCCGGCGAGGTGAGTCACTCACATGGACAGTCCCTAGAAGCCCATTTATGTGGACGGGGTACATCTGAGAAAGGTGGAATGGTTTGAGAGCTGGAATGTTGAGTTTTGGTAAAGATACCCCAAGAAGTGTCTCCAGGGTGGCCACCAAATTCTTGAAACACAGGTGAAAGCACAACAAACAATTTATAAATCGTACATACAAATAGTGGTGTTTCTAGACTTGCTAGCCACCTCATACTACAAGGAATAGCGTTTACAGCCCTAAACAGAAGCATTCTACAGGGAATGAATTTGTGATGCTGTCATTAGCCTGGATGTCCATTTATCTGAGCTAATCGGTCATAAATGCCCATGTGGCTCATGTAAATAAGACTCATACATAATAAAGAGATAATTACCTCAGCTTTCTAGTTGCAACCAAATATCCTCTAGTTACAGAGAATACTTAGCAGGCTAATTAGTAGCATTCATTACCCTGCCCCTAGTTCCCCCAAGAATGATTCATGTGAAATCCTAAGTAACCCAAATCCTATTGCTCTGATTTGGAACAAAGGGAACAGAGCTAGAGGGATGGCCCCAGAAGGGAGCTCTACAGCTAGCTGCCATACAGCCAGAGGGGCATTAATTAACACCACCTGTTTCAAATAACGTTTAGGACAGGCCTGGCTTCAGCTGTCAACTCTTAGTGCCTGCATCCCTAATGCTCCTTCGATTCATCCTCCAAATACCAGATCCACAGGCTCAGGGGACAACCAGGTGGTATATTCAAAGGATGACAAAACCATTGAGATTCACATAAATTAATAACTTGCTTTTCTAGTCCATGTGGAAATCCACCATCACTCTATCGGCAATTTCCATCAGCTCTCTTTCAAGCTGTGTCCCAATTTATCCCAGATCTCAGAGCTCCTCATCACTGCCACTGCCAACTTGTAATCACCATTCATATCACAATCATATCTCTTCTTGATGACTGTAGCAGCTTTCTAACAGGTCTCCTGGCTTCAACTCTTGCCCCCTGCCCTTCATTCTCCACAGTGTGAACTTCTAAAAGTGTGAATCCTATCCTGTCACTGCCTCTAACATTGCACTTACAGAAATGCATCCAGATTCTTTACCATGGCCTAAAGGACCTAAGGGAGGGGCCCTGCCTGCTCCCCATCTTCCCCACGGGCTCCCTTTCATCATCCAGGTCTCATCTCTGATGGTTCTTCTTTAGAGAGGCCTTCCCTGACATTTTAACTAAAGCAAAACTATTCCCCATTTCCCCCACATATCCCACACTAATTTCTTCACAACATTATGATCTGAAACTATTACATTAACACACTTGTCTGCATTTTTAACATGTTCTTCCCCCAACCCTCCAAGGTGAGCTTCATTAGGACAGGGATCTTATGTGATTAGGCTTGTTCACTATTGTGTCCTTAGCACCTAGCCCATAGCAAGTGCTCAATAAATAGATATTAATTCTACTAATAAAAGAGTAGAGGAAAAACAATCTAGCCAAGATTTTTAATTATAGAAATCTGTTAATGCAAAGTTTATAATATCCTCTTCATGTTTTCTATGAAATGCTATGCAGAGGCCAAGAGTGGTGGTTCATGTCTATAATCCCAATACTTGGGGAGGCTGAGGTGGAGGACTGCTTAAGCGAAGGAGCTCAAGACCAGCCTGGGCAACATAGTAAGGCCTCATCTCTACAAAAAAATTTTATAAGTTAGTTGGGCATGGTGGGGCATGCCTTTAGACCCAGATACTCGGGATGCTGAGGTGGGAGGATCACTTAAGCTCAGGAGTTCAAGGCTGCAGTGAGCCA